CAGTTGGCCAATTATGTTATGCAAATTAATCCACTGTTCCATTTTAAAAGGATTAAATGCTTTGTACACAGAAGTGGACAGCACTCAGTCTAAGAGGCAGTTGTGCGGTGGGAGCCAGGCAGCCATCGAGAGGATGATCCAGTTTGGCCGAGAGCTACAGAGCATGAGCGAACTCTTGCGCCGTGAGCGGGGGAAAAACTCAGCCAATAAGAAGATGCTGAAGGTAATTCCACTTGTTCTGAAAGTTGTATGTAGGTGCTGTTTGTATCTAATCACATTTATGATTTAAATGGTGTTTAGAAAAAAAATGAATCAAATGTATTTTGGTTATGATGGTAATGACCAGTAAACATGAAGAAATATGTGTTTTATGGTAAAGCCTCTTACTGTCTCCATTCCTGCAGGATGCATTCAGTTTGCTGGCATATTCAGATCCATGGAACAGCCCCGTGGGCTACCAGCTAGATTCCATCCAGAGAGAGCCTGTCTGCTCTACACTCAACAGTGCAATATTAGGTATAGCATCAGTCTTCCTACCACCTTTGATTAAATCAGAACAATTAAGTTCCATCTAGTCACTGCAATGATTCAGCACTCTTTCAGCACTGAGCAAAGCTCTTTAAGCTCAGAATTAATCGAGTGAAAAAGCCTAAGTGAGGAACATAATAGGGCTGGGTAAAAAAAATATTGATTTCTCGATATTAATCGATTCTCATTTTTATGAACCGATATCGATTCTTAAATCTCAAGAATCGATTAGTCATCCTGTTTTCATTTGATGAATGGAACATTGTAGTGCGAATCAATAATCTTTGTGCTTTGTGACTTATTATGAAATAAAGTCTCAAATTTCAAATTTCTCCATTTTCTTATGAAATTCAAAAACATAAATACCGTTTTGTCGCTGTGGCGTGCGTGAGATCGCTCAATCAGTGGAAAGACGTCAATTAAACAGCTTGTAAACAATGTAATGTAACGTCACATTTACCTCAGAAAAACCATATGTGACCATAAACTTAGTCAGTCAGCTAGAAAAATTAACTCTAGAGAGGAGAATTTTTGCTAAATATATGCACCATATTACATATTCATTATAATTTTTATGTTATTCAATATTTAATGCATGTTTGAATAAATCTGGCAAGTTTTTATGACAGCCACCATTTAAATTTTTATATTTCATATAACTTTCTTATTATAAAAATAAATAAAAGTGTAATTTAAGTGTTTGGAACGCTACAAATCAGTTAATTTTTACCTTCAATATTATAGTAGGCTAATGAACCCTATAGGCTACAACTGACTCCCATAGTTTACAGCATTAGTTAAGAGATTTGTTTTCCTTAAAAATTAGCCATGTATTGTACCTGATATCCAAAATAATCAATATCGAATCGTAATCGAATCGAATTGCAAGCTTGTGAATCGAAATCGAATCGAATTGTGAAATTTGTGTCAATACCCAGCCCTACAACATAATGCTGTATTTTGATAAAAATCAATATCCCTGTAGTACAGATAAGTCATGGTGCTGCAGGACCCTTTGGAAGGATCCTTGCACATATCACAAGTACACATATTTTGCATGGATTACTATCTAATTGCACATGTTAGTATGCGAATGTTGCATTACAATTTAAACACATTAATATGAAATAGTTTTTCTCATCTCTCTAGGTCAAGCTCATACAATATTGGTAGCATTAGTAATATTGGAGTATTAGTTTATATATATTGGATTAGTAGCATTAGCACAACTTAAAAATAATATTTCCCCCCCTAACTTTTAAATGGTAGTGTACACAGTTTAAATGTAAACTAATACTCCAATACATATCACAGTGTGGCAAGGTGTAGAAAGTTCTCAAGCTGCACTGACAGCAAAAAAAGAGTAGCAAAAAACACAAGCGATCAACAGAATACTGGAAATATCCTGTTTTTCCTGACAATAAGCATCTAGATTACTAATTGGTAGCATTAGTAATATTGGAGTATTAGTTTATATTTAAATAGTGTACACTACCATTTAAAAGTTTTGGGGGAAAAAAGATTATTTTTAAGCTGATTAAAACTGCATCCCGTGTATCGGAGCCAAAAAAACATCTAGATGCTTATTGTCAGGAAGAACAGGATAATATTTCCAGTATTCTGTTGATGGCTTGTTTTTTGCTACTTTTTATTTTATTTTGTCGCTGTCAGTGCAACTTGAGAACTTATTTTTAAGTTTAAGAGGTTCACCAAGGCTGCATTATTTGATGGAAAATACAGTAAAACATTAATATTGTGAAATAGTACAACAATTTAAAGACCCCCTGTGGTGAAAATCACAGGGTGTACACGATGTTGAGTATTTTATCTTTAAAACTGCAGTGATCTAAAGACAGTCTCAAAAACGCTGTTTGAAATCGCTGGCGTTTCTTACGTCACAAACTACCTTGTAACCAATCACACCAAAATACAGGCGGGCTTTAGCATATCATTAACTATGCTGCGAAGTTTCAAGAGTAGCCAGGTTATCCCGGTATATTTTTGTTGATAGGAAAAATCCGGTACATTTAGCAATACAGCGGGTGTGTTATGTATATAATGTATATTACGATGTTATGATGAACTGTATGCCTTTCACCACTTACGTTCTAAGTTGTTCAAAGCGTTTGTAAGGATGTTGATTTTTAGAAGGCAGCTGTCTGACTCTTAGTTGAAGTACGGGAACATGATTTATGTAACATTAGCACACCTTAGCTGTGTGATAATGTAGTCAAGCGAAAGGCTAATCATATTAATTACAGTTAGGCCGTGTGTCCACCAAAGCGTTTTTAGCCAGTTGAAAACGCTAGACGCTCTGCTGAAAACGCTTAGCTGTGAGCACTTGAGAGCGTTTTGGCAGCGCAGCATTTTTTCCGTTGAGACGTTTGCTATGATACAGAATATCCGCAGCACAGTTTACTTGTAACTGATTTCGCAGATAATTTGTTTCATACTAAAAATGTATTTTTCATCCATTTTGTTCGGTTAGCTCTGCTGGTTGATGTCGTTGTACAGAAAGAATGTTGTGAAAGTTGGTCAGTGTGGTATTAGTCCCGCCCCTCCTCCACTGTGATTGGACGGCTGGGTAAAAAGTGACAGTGATGTTTTACCCGAAATTGAACATTTTTCAACTCTCGGCGACCAGTAAAAAACGCAGAGCGCTTCAGCGTGAAAAAAAACGCTCATTGCCTCGTTACACTCATGGCGTTTAAAAAACGCGGCGCTCCCATTGAAAACATATGCCAGGTGCGTGGAAAAACGCTTTGGTGGACACACGGCCTTATGTGTCCGATGTTTTAAAGAGCGATACCATTGTGCAGCATTTACCTCAATAAAGTTGACCAACCGAGTGGATCTCTGAGCTGGTATGAGTGAGTGGAGGCAGGGCTAATTTGCATAATCTAGGTTCCGCATTTATTAAATGAAGCAAGGGTGTAGAGGAGGTGTTCCAGGTAATTTAAGGCATGAAGAAATTTTCATTCATTTTGGTGATTAAAGATGAGTTTTAGGGGTTAAATTATTGACTTGTGACTTTAAATTATCTGCTTTTTTATTGACTCCAAACTTTTGAACTGTAGGTTATATTATTGTTTTTCATGGTTTATCATGAATAACAATTTTAACATTAGCATTTAATGTTTTCATTTCAGCATTCAATCAATGTTTTTTTTTTTTCCTCTCATGCAGAGACTCATAACCTGCCAAAGCAGCCTCCCTTGGCGCTCGCTGTTGGCCAGGCAGCTCAGTGTCTGTCTGTCATGGCTCGCACGGGCAGCGGATCCTGCGCCTTTGCATCAGTGGATGATTACCTGCACTAACCCCTGGAGAATCATCCCTGTAAATGACCACGTGAAAGAGGCCCTCATCATCCCAGTCCATCCCAGACTCCCAAATAAACTGGGGCCAGCTTTGGCTTGATGAACTGAGCCTTCACATGGCCAGACCCATCCTGGCTCTCTTGATAAGACTGGATCCTCCTCACCCAGGCCTAAACTGGGCCTAAAGACACATTAGGAGATGGGTCCTTAGAAGTCAGATAAAATCCCCAATCATTATGGTCTTTTTTTTTTGTTCCTTTTGTCTTTTTTATTTTGGGGGAGGGGTTGTTGGGTGGGTGGGGGGTGCAGCAGGCTCTGATTGTTTGTTTCCTGATTTACAAGGCATGAGGAAAATTATTATGACATAATTAATGTTATTATCAGTAAACTTGCATATAAGATATATTTGTTCTTGGTTGAAAGCTGGCAGAGTGAGCGAGACCGAATAACTAAGGTCCCACCACAGCAACACCCTGCTATTTTCAGGTCTCAGCTTGTGTACTTTACCGTTTAAAAAAAAAAGAAAAAGAAAAATATTGAAATTATATTAACAGGAGGAGTGGAACATTTAGTTATCTTACAGTAAAAAAAATTAAAACAGAAAATCTAACACTGCTGGAGTCATCCTTAGTGGTGGTATTTAGTATAGAGCGTTAGTGTGAGCTTTGAGTTATGCCCTTTTTTTGTGCAAGCGCACCCTCCCTCTGCCAACTGCACAGCAGGATTGATGCAATGTTCGGACACTTTGATTTGTAATTGTATTGATGTCAATGGTCTTTTCATCCACCTGATCCCTTACTCCATCTTTTAAAAAGTCCGTATTCAGGCGTTCTCTCATCATCGTTGCCTGCACTGTGTTTTTGTGCAGTTTGGATGTGTGAAAGGAACATGGTAAAATTAAGGTCACATCCAGTCTCTGAGAGGCAAGCCTGATCCATTGTTTTTTCTCCTCTTGTTTACCAGTCAATCCCTCAGACCATCAGTACTTTTAAAACAAGGAGAATGGTACAGTATTGTCATCAACACTGTCTTATCATTTTCAGTAATAAAACATAAATACCCAGTTGAACGAGATATACCAGTCTGTGTTTTGACACATTTCAGTGAGTGTTCGGATGTTAAACAAGTATGCAATTAGACCATGAAGAGCACTAATAATGGCAAAACAAGTTTTATTACATATGTTAACGTTTTGAAATGACACCTCCATGATTTGTCCATTTGATCATTACAGTCATATAGTTACAATAGTCAAATGAATGTAAAACGTAACTAAAACAAGAAATGTCAGGCCTTAGATCAGGTTTACATTTATTAAAGTGTACATTAAATATGCAAACATGAAGAACATTCAGCTTCAGCCATTTTTTTTTTTACTTTTGATTTGAAAAAGATGGAAGAACATAGTCATTTCTATTTGAATGAGTAGAGACTGAATTTTATTTGATAATATTTTTTAACTGCGTTAACGGAAAAGGTACTAAATTAAAGGTGTCCTTTTGTAAAATGTGATCCATATGGTCAAAAATAGCTAAGCTCCCTAAGTTAAGGAAGGTTACAGTTCTCATGTGTAATAATTATTAATCCCCTGTTTTAGATCTCAGGAAGGAACCATTTTCTGTTTGTGTATAAACCTTTTATTGGACTTTGTGATCTTCTTTTTTAAGTCGGCACCTGTAGATGAATAAAGACCACTCAGACTGTTGCTTTCCAAAATAAAACTAATATAATATAGTTGTTAAATATGAAAATCTCAATACTCACCATATTTTTTATTCACAAACTCCACAGATGCACCTTGTCTGGCACCCTTTTTCATTTTGAGGGACAGAAGCTCTGCATCTGCAGAAAAATAAACAGAAATATTAGTTTTTCTACTAAATTTGGTTTTAAAAACAGGGTCTGAACAGCACAACGTTATCATCTTACTGCTTGTTCTTTTGGTTCCTGGTCCGTAAAGGCGGGACTGAATGAAGTCAATTGCGCTTTGTTGCAGTGATTTGGCAGCGGATTCATCCTTCACTCTCTTTACACTGTAACTGTCTGGTAAACTGAAATCAGATGTTCTTCCATTTATACATAACATGAGGAAGCCTTCCAGTAAGATGAATGTAAACAGCCAATTACTACTATTATTACCTTTTAGAGTTTGTTTCTGACGTGACATTTGTCTCCTCCTCATCTATAAAATAGTATTGTCATTCAATACTTAAATTGACCAATAGGACAATCATTTTTAGTAAAGTTACAGAAAATTCTGGTGTTACCTTTGACGTTGTCTGATAACACAGCAGGTCTAAAATAAGAAATTAACAGTTTATTAGGTTTCCAAAATGATTTAAGGAATTCAAATGTTTATTTTCATCCAGATAGCTTACTTTTGGGGTTCTGTATCAAATTCCTCCAGGAGGTCTTCAGGAAGACGTTTTCTCGTCTGAAAAACAACAGATGTAACATTTCATTATGTTTTGATTTTGGTATTTATATTACATCTACAATTTATTGTGTGGATTAAGTGAAAGTGTATAAACTTGTCTAATAATAATGTATTCGACATCCAGGGGATGGTAACTTATTCACAACCCTATACCTTTTGTTCTTGAAACAACTGTTGTCTTTTCCTTCGTTTCTCCTTCAATAGGTTCTTCTCTCTGAAAGCAAAGAGAAAAAAAAAAAAATTATATATATATATATATATATAATAAACAGTTTAAAACTCATAAGCTCATGTGGTCTGTGTGTCTAAAGCCAGTGGACACACACTCACAGACCTTTTAGCTGACTCCAGTGCATCTTTAACGCTCTTCAGAGCAGCACTTTTGGACGCATCAAAGGCGACCTCCTCGGGAAGTTCATCATCACTGGACTCAAACTGACTCTGTGCCAATTCAGACATTTTGTTAGTCTCTTTAAGTGAAGTAAACCTGACTTTAGAACACACGTTGTACGGAATTCGCCATATTAAACACCAACAACGCCGAACATACATTAAAGACAGACCGACTAAAGTCACAAGTATTGACTGCAATAGATGCTGCCATCTGGTGGTTCGGATGTCCCTGCAACATCTGCTCGTAAACAAACGGATGCAAATGGCGGAGTTTATAATAATAGCCTTTCTTTTACTGTCTATGATAATAGCACATACGCCAGATACCTACACTTTTCAGTGAACAGAGATAAGTATAACTATATATTGTTAATAATTTAATATTTGTATTTCATAATGCCCTGTATCATGAATTATTACGGCAATGTAAAAAAGTACTATATATTTTTTTAATATTTTTTTTATTATGACTGCTACTACCACAATACAGACTATTATTTATAATATTGATCATTCAAAATTCTTGAGATTATTATGGTGAAATCCTATTGTTTCCTTACAACAAAAATGTAAATAATAGCCTAATAATACATTTTATTATTATTATTACCATACAACTATCATTATTTATAATATTGATCATTCAAAACATTTGTGATTATTATGGTGAAATCGTATGGTTCTTTGCAGCAAAATAAACAAACAAACAAATGTAATTAATAATAATAATTTATTTTATTTATTAATAAATGTAATTATATAATGTTAATAGTATAAATAGTAAATAGTAAAAATAAACTATACTTATTTTCAACTAGTGGAAAATAATTTTATGAGCCGTCATACGGGTTTGATATCTGACCAATCGGTGTTTCTGACGTGTTTGTGACATGAATGCTGGACTGGTCTGTGTATTTTTTTATTTGTGGATTTGAGACACCAGCGCAAACACTGCGGCTGGGGGGAAAAACACTCCAATCAAAGGCGTTGTGTCAATATTTAAATTTCATGTAATTATCGATTTGCACCAACAGAAATGTCAGGCTTTGTGGTTTTTGCGCTGGTATCGTCATTGTCCGCGATGGTGCCGTGTCTGGGCTCTCCTCCTCCGTCAGTAGCGGCGGCGCCTCAGCCCTGCCTCGCGCCGTTACAGTGGGAGGGTCGGACCGTTCAATATGACCACGGCACGGGACGAAACACACGGGCAGCGGTCTCCTATGATGCACAGAGTCAGCGAATTAGGGTTCTGGAGCAGAAGACAGGACACACACCTTGTAAAAAGTACGAATTCATCATATGTTATGAAATATATTTTGATACGTTTTCTTATCACTGCAAAATACTCAGTATTTTTTGTCTTCTTCTCCAGTATAAACATCTAAAGATTCTTAAATCGATACACTTGAGAAGCAAAATTCTATGTAAAGTCCTGTTTACTGAAAAATGTATCAAAATTAAGTGACCCTTAAAAAAAGTAAAAATATCTGCCAATCAGTAAGAAAAATAAACTTAATTCAAATTCTTAATTATTTTAAGTGTACAGTCACTGACTTAATTAGTATTATTATTATTATTTAGAATAAATCAGTTGTTTTGCTTCTCAAGTAAATGTATCTTGATTTAAGAATGTTTCGATATTTGTACTGGAAAACAATACAGAAAAAATTACAACTCCAAGTAAATTTATTTATTTATGTTTTGCTTGCAGTGTTTTGAAATGTCTGAGCTGTTGTTTTTCACCATAGTGTGGATGCATTATCCATTATAGTCAAAATTAGAATGACCACACACAGTTCTTGTGTTCTGAAACATTAGTAAACCAGATAAAGTTTAATTGATTTGAATTATATAACTGTAAATTTGCTTTGCATTCATTTATCTGTATTATGTAATTCTCTTTGAGGTTCTTTGAGTACATCTACTTGTTCAAGAGTGGAGTGCTTTTCCAGATTGAGGAAATTACCAAGCAGTGTGCAAAGATCGCTCTGACGGAGGCCTGGGACCCTTATGATATACCCCTGAACTCCACATATGAGGACCAGTACTTCATTGGAGGACCTGGAGACATGATTGAAGTTCAAGAATGGTCTGATCGAAAACCGGCCCGCAAAAGTATGTTTGTTATAGCTATGTTATAAATTTCGCATATTACATGTGCCTTGATTTTTATATAGGAACTCTAATATGGTCCTGATTAAATGAACTTTGCATTTTTCCTGTCTCTCACAGATGAAGCTTGGGTTGGTGTGTACACTTTGAAGGACTGCTATCCTGTACAGGAGACATACGCAAAGAACAGTAGCTTGACCATGTCCACTCGCTTCTTTGACCTTCAGCTGGGCATCAGTGACCCTGAGGTGTTCAACCCACCCAGCACCTGCCAGTCAGCACTGTCTGAGAAGATGACATCCGACTGCTGAATACCACTACATATATTAACCATAACAGCTTCTAAAGAACTGATATTACACTGACAAAGAGCACATGAATTGAGTGCAGGTACTGTTAAATATAATCAGCTTCGAAATAAACCAAGAATGTCAGTTTTAAGTTCACTAGTTCTTGTTGATTTACAGTGTGAACTGTGCCTCATATTATTGAAGCCTCGTTTTTAATATGCCACATTTTTGGCTGTGTTGTGTGGATCCAGGGTGGATTAATGTAGCCTAGTACTTTTGTTTGTTTTACAGTTAATATTTTGTTCATCTTATTATTATTATTTAGCCTTTAGGATGGTTTACAGTTTGGATGCTTACAGTTTATTTTGTTTATAGTTGTTGAAGAATTTCAATAAAATGGTTTACCTCACTACCACAGTTGTTGAGCACATTGATTTTAACAGTATACCGGTATACAGCTTTTATAAGACAATTAACCAGTGATGTTTTGCATAGATAAAGAATTGTTAGCTGTAGTTGAGTACATCAGATTATGTTCTTTAATGAAAGCATTGTTTTGTTTTGCTCCAGTCTGTAGAGGTTTAAAATAAGGATCTTGTAAATTAACAATATAAAATAAATTAAATAGCATAATGTCATCAAGTAATGTTTGCTTATTATAGCTTCTTGATTAACTTAAAAGAATACAGTGACTCAAAAACAATGTCTGTATGTCTTTGCATTAAATGCTATAAACATTACATTTAACATGAATGGAATAGATTTATTGTTTAAAACAAAGACAAAATCGTTTGGACCACAATTAATGTGATGAACTACACTTTATTCCGCTAGAATGCTTTTGTGAATTTGAGGAGAACTGACTTCACACAGCCACTAAAATGACCTTCACACCAGTTGATTAAAAAAAAAAAATGAGCAAAGTTGGTTCTGATAGAAGCTCTAGCATCATTTGTGTGCAGAAAGCCACTTGTTTCCTTTCTAATTCAATTAATTCAAATGTTGACTTTTAGGGCATGAGCATATAAAGCTTTCTATAGCAAAAAAATCTACTCAGACAGGTCTGTTATATTATGTTATTGTTTGTTATATTTACTTGATGCTTAGAACTATTAATTAAATTAGAATTGTGGGCAGTCCTGACGAAGTTCCGGGTTCTACTACATATCCCAGAATCCCCTTTCCAAAACAACATCACACTATTTCCTGTCTGACTGAAACGAAAGTCATCAGAATCATATGGTGCGGAATTTTCACCGAGATATATCCTCATTGATTTGTCGGTTGACTGTAATACAACGGGTACTTTTATAAGGTTGCTCACCAAGGTAAGCGACATGATCGATAACACACACATATTTACTTTGGTAGAGCAATGCTAATGTGACAAGAAGCCGCTGCTGTTTTGCAGGTTGATTGCTTCAAATGTAACCGGATATATTGTTTTCAAGAGAGATTCATTGTTATTTTAGGATCGCTTATTTCGCTTGTTACAATTTTAGTTAGAAATATAGAAATATATGGTGTGCTATTATGACACTATGTTCCACATTTTGAGAAATTCTCGCTGGGTTTCCTGTTATACTGGTGTATTATAATGCTAGCCCATAGCATGTGAATTGGTTTGGCAGAGCTATGAAATAAATAAACACTTCACAAAATAAATACAGACGAACTCATTTCAGTTAATTGGGTTGTTCTTACATTTTCCATTTTCATTTCAGCTAGAGTCACAGATAAAGCAATAATGCTAAATGTCCTATATTGTTATTAAGGGTAGTCCATAACGATATAAATTACAGCATAAAGAAATCAGTTCTCTTCTCATGTAAAGTTCTTTTAGGGGATGCAAAAAATCCTTCCAAGTGTAACGTTAGTCATTTGCAAACAATGCATGAAAATTCCTGTGCTCGTTTTCGGTAAATGACATCAGTAAGGGGAACTTGTCCCACTAACCAAACAGATAGTTACTGTTCTCATAAACTCTTGCCTGTTTTAAAACGTTATCTGGGGTACTTCCTGGTCTTCCTGATAAGACTTGTAGGGCTAGATTTTCATGCTTAGTTTCTTTTATGAAGACTATATTCACTTACTATAGGTGAATAGTCTTTTCAATTGTGATTAAAATTGCATTATTATAGGAAACCTTGTTGATTTTAGCACGATGAATCCACTTTAAGACATTTGGTTGATAGTTTTGTTTTTCAGAATTGTCATGATGTCTTAATTTAGGTACAAGTTCTTGTCTGTTTTGATCATGATCATTATCCTGCTCATTACACTGCTACTTAGCGAATACATAATATAGACACGAAATATTGATTTCAGTTTTAATTTTTTAGTTATTATCGAGGTGTCAGGTGTGACAGAACATATGAGCTGTCATTTATACATGACAGCCATGGGAAACGGTCATTAGTGTACATTCATTGTACATTCAGAATCTAGTATTCCAGAGACGCATGTAGAGTGCAACAGTGCCCACTTTTTCAGCCTTGGTTTTGGAAGGGGTTTTAAAAGTCTTTATTTAACAGTTATTAGCTATGGGGTGAGTCAACAATGACACAAAGAAGAATCTGAAAATTGGACAAAATGTACATGTGTACTTAACGTCTTTAATTAGGGAAAGAACTACAATCCCATGATTCAAAGCGAATGACAATCAAATTAAAAATAGATAAATATTGTTTACTCACATATTGTGTTTAAACAACATACTCATGTATGTTTTGGTGTTGTTCACAGTGCTACATTGGAGTTTGCAGGCACTTTTTTTTCTTACAATTTGATTGTTTCGATTCTCTAATTGGTGGAGATTTCTCTGCAGAATTATGGGTAATGTAGTCTTTCACCAGAATTCAGCTGTTACACAAGATTACTTAAAAAAATAATTTGAATAAAGCAGGCTGATGGCTTCAGCAAAAGTAAATACCTTTGATCAACAACGTTGTAGGTTACAGTAGGTCCATTAGTTAAATAAGTTATTGGTTAAAATCAATTCCCATATGGAGAAAATGAATGGGATTTTCACTTCCGGTCCGGAACCCATCTGTTGCACTCTATAATTGGTGTTAATGTTTTATTAGTCCTTTTTTTTTTTTTTTTTTTTTTTATTATTTAATTTTTTTTATTTTAAGTATATCTACTTAGTGACAGTACAGGATGTTTGGTGGTTTAGTTGAAGACGTCACAAAGTCCTGATCATACAACAGCAATAACTATAAACCCATGACCACTGTGTGAAATGCCTCCACTTTCTGTGTCCTTTCAGAACTAGGCATGACTACAGAGTCTGACTCTCCAGAAGTGTGAGTGTGAGTGGAGTGACACGAGTGGACGAGACTGACGAGTCATGGACAGCCAATGCAGCAGCAGTGTGGGGTCCCGGGCCACTCTAGGGGGTGTGGGAAACATTAACTCCACCCTCATTTCTTCCCGTATCGAGTCCTATGAAGCAGGAGAGAAGAAGTGCATCTCCGATGTCCGAAGAACCTTTTGCTTATTCGTGACCTTTGACCTTTTATTCGTCACCTTGCTGTGGATCATTGAGCTTAATGTAGGTTGTGGTTTAGATTGATTCATCTCCTCTAGAGATTATTACGTTCTTTTAAATATATGCTGGATAAACACCAGTTTAATAGGGATTCAGCTGCACAACATTTTGTATTTTATATATATATGTATATATATACAGTATACAATATATATATATATATATATATATATATATATATATATATATATATATATATATATATATATATATGTGTGTGTGTGTGTGTGTTAATAATTTTTTTCATCTATATTCATCCAGGTCAATGGAGGTATACAAGAGCAACTGATGAAAGAGGTGTTGCAGTATGATTACCACAAATCCTTTTTTGACATATTTGTAAGTACTGGCCAATATGCTGCCCTCTATTGCAGGGTTTCCCAAACTGGGGTTCACAAGCCCCTCGGTTGCATGAGTTGACGCAAAGCTAATAACGAATTAATTCATAAAAATGTAAAAAAATTGTAATATATTATTTTAAAATAATTTTAAAAAATCATTTTTTAAATAAAACAAATTATAACAGTAATTGCACTAATATAATAAAATTACCATATACATAACATCTTGTCCACAAATCTATGACTTTTCTCTACAATACGCTGATTATAATATATATATACACATGTATATGATATATATATATATATATATATATATATATATATATATTATACCATTGAGCTTCTTTAAGGCCTATCTCCCACATAAAGATTTAGAAAGGGTGATTAATGCCTTTATAACTTCTCGCCTTGACTACTGCAACTCCTTATATGTGGGCTTAGATAAGACATCTATTCAGCGCCTGCAGTTGGTACAAAATGCTGCTGCCCGCCTCCTAACAGGAAAAAAGAAGAGAGACCACATCACACCTGTGTTGCGCTCCCTCCACTGGCTTCCCGTTCATTACAGGATTGATTTTAAAATCTTACTCTTAACTTTTAAATGCCTAAATGGATTGGCTCCATTGTATTTAACAGAGCTTCTTAATGTTCACACTCCAACTAGAGTGTTGAGATCCACCAATCTCCTCCTCCTGGATGTGCCCAGAAGCAGACTTAAAACCAGAGGCGATAGAGCCTTCAGTGTAGCTGCCCCAAACTTGTGGAACAACCTGCCACTCCAGATTAGAACTGCCCCAACTCTCGCACGCTTTAAATCACTGTTAAAAACACATTTCTTTTCTCTGGCATTTCCTCTCAGCTAAGTTTGTTATCTTTCCTGGCAAATTTTAAACTTAATTTCACTATATATCATATACTGTATATTATAATGTTTTTGGTTGTAGTTTTACTGTGTGCCTTGTTGTATTTTTATCCTGTGAAGCACCTTGGTCAACCTTGGTTGTTTTAAGTGTGCTATACAAATAAAGTTGATATTGATATTGATATTGATACCATGTGACTATTAACCTTTAGAGACATCAGAGAACCCTGAACATGCAAATGTGTTATTAAATTATTGAAATATCAACATAAAGTCTCAGGATATGCTCCATTTTGACTCTTTAGCAGTGAAATTACCAACATTTAAGATGTGATTTAATTTGAAACTGGTGTGGTAACATTTTAGGGCCAGTCCATTCCACAGTTCCCTTTTCAAAGATGACTTTTTCTCTCTCAACGTAGATTACCTCACTCATGCCTTTCAAACCACAAGGTTTCTGTCCAGGAAAACTTCATTATTGATCCTAAAGGGATAGATTACCTTAAAATGTCATCATTTGCTCATCCCCATCTCGTTCCAAATGAGTGTATGACTATTTTTCTTCTGTGGAGGAAGATAATTTGAAAAATGTTGTTCATTGTTGTACAAAACAACAAACCTTTCATTATGTGGACAATTTTCAAAGTATTGTTGTGTTCCACAGAAGAAAGAAAAACATACAGATTTGGAACGACATGGTGGGTGAGGAAAAGATGACCAAATTTAACTATTTAACCCTTCTATCTTGGGTCACATGCGTATGGGGTGCTTCTTTGATATACAGATTCAGTTGTTCTTTGGTGTTTAAAAGCTTTGTTTTAGATCATTTAAATGTGCAAGTTTCTGTCTTAGTTTGATGCAGCGTTTAAAATCAAGTCAACATTTTTTTTAAGACAGCTTGGTATTTGTAGACTTCGCCCTGTAAGTTGCTGTGTGGATTATATTTATGCAAATACACAGTGATGTCATTGTGAAAAATGTTACCTGACACGACAGCAAGTTTTAAAGCAACAAATTTTTCATGAAATGTTGTTAAACCGGTTTTGAAAGGTAGATAACACATTTAAGTGTGTCGAAAACACTACTGTACAAAAGTTTGCAGTCTCTTATGCTTGTATGTTTTTCTCCTCAGCTCTTGGCTGTGTTCCGCTTTGCAGCCTTGATTCTTGCGTATGCAGTGTGTAAAGTGCGTCATTGGTGGGCCATTGCGGTAGGCAGCCTTTACTTTATATTCCTCCACCAGAGGGCACTGTTGTGTTACTCATTAATAACATGCTGGAACTTTGTTTCAGCTGCTTAATCAAACTATTAGACTGAGCTTCACATAAACGTATATCTATAAAAATGTAAAAGATTACATATAGATTCATGTAATTATCATCATATCTTCATTACAGATAACTACAGCAATCACCACTGGTTTCTTAATAGTGAAAGTAGTTGTATCAAAGGTATGAGATGTTTTTTATTCAGCTTCTTTTTTTTCCTTTTTCTTTTTTGAGAATTACACACTTTTTCCATTGATCTAAAATGTTCTTCTTTTGTCCAGCTCCTGTCTCAGGGGGCGTTTGGGTATTTGTTACCCATCATCTCCTTCATTTTGGCATGGATAGAGACGTGGCTGCTGGACTTCAAAGTCCTGCCCCAAGAGGCTGGTGATGAAATCAGTGAGAATCAAATATCTAATTACAGTGAGACAAGCATTTACAAGCGGTATCAGTGAAGGCTAATGGACGTAGATGACATTATAACTCATTTGCTCTTACAGTGTGTGAGTATCATTGTCTTTAGCAATCGTGTGTGTCCTGTGTGATAGGGTATCTTTCAGTGCAGAGTGTGCCAGATCGAGAACCTCTTTTATACCCAGGACTTGTTTCAGAAGGCCAGTTCTACTCTCCTCCTGAGTCCATGGCAGGTAATGGCTTACTAAATGCCCAATACAAGCCGGACAACAGTGAAAATGGTTCTCAGGGTTGCATGGAAATCTAAAATCATGTATTTTACCAGTTTTTTTCTGGTTCTGGCGCTTGATAGCTTAAAAGATTAGTGAATCAGCCGTGGAACATTTTGTTCTTATTTATGTTTTATTTTTAGTCATAGTTTATTTAAACAGAGATCACTCTTACAAATGAGAGATATAATGTTCTCACCACATTTTTACAACAGTAACAGACTTGTATTTTCCAGGAAATACCACTGTCAGAGCTCAGGTGCCCTGTGGTGAGCGCTAGAGATATTCAAGGATAAATATGTATTTAGAGGTGTTGCAGCAGTATTAAAGCGCCTAAAAAAATATTTAAACCATTACCGTCTCCTATTAATAAATTGCAAAGTGTGCATTTTGCGCCATTATCATTTTATATCTTATATACTCTAAAACTAAATATAATATACAGACGAGTCATAGCATCTATGTATATATATATATAGATATACTCGTCTCCATTTCTTTCAAGGTTAACATTAGTTTTTCATGTTAATCCGCAACATTTTTGCCAACAATAATTAATGTCAACTATGCATATCTTGCACCCATTTTCACAATGTTTGCACATTTCCCCCCCCTTTTTTCTTTTCTCTTTGGTCCATTGAGGACTACAGTGTGGGGTACAATTAGATCAATTTGATCAGTCAGTTAAATTACTTTAGAAAGAAAGTGTACAAATGATGTTACTCTGACCGTAACTGATTCAGACTAAATTAATTTTTATATATACATACACACACTACCATTCAAAAGTAATTAGAAGTTAGTTTAATTTCTATTTCAAATAATTGCTGTTATTTAGAACTGTTTACTCATCAAAGAATACTGATAATTGAACATTGATAATAGTAATAGTAATTTTATGAGCAAATCTGAATTACTGTTATACAGATATTTCACAGTGTTGCTGATCTATCCGTGGATTTACTAATTTATCTTCAGGAAATTTAAACATTTTATTGACTTGTCTTTGTATTGTCTTGGTAGATTGATTTGTTTTACACCTCGTGACAAATTAAATCAGTAGTGTCCAGTCCATTGGGGGCAACTAAACACTTTTTGACATTGCTATGTGTCTCTTTATATTTAACGCACTAATTTTAAATGTTCGCAAATGTATTTGCTGTACTCTAATATGCCTTTGTGTGCTTTAGATTCACAGCATGAAAAGGGATCACTTTACAGGGCTGATTTTATTCACACATTTGTTGCTCATCCTAGTAAACAGGGCTTGTGAAACATAGAGAATGAATACTTACCCTAACGATTTTTATTGACCTTTATATTTTTGTTAAGAATTCTATACATTTTTTCACAATATTATTTCAGTTTTTTTAGTGCTTTGAAAAACAGCGTTTGTTGTGTGCAAACAGCGACATATTCAGTAGGCCCACAGAGATGTTAAACACTCACTAAATATGATATTTTGTTTCTGTAGACTCTGATGAAGACCTTGATGATAAACTTGATCTAGAGAAGCCCATCGTCTAGCAGGTATTCAAAAAATATGAATAATTCTTTTATCATTTTTTTATTCCTCCATCTATCTCAATCTAACTAATATGATTGTATTTGAATTGTTATTAGGAGCTCAGAGTTAACACTGACTTCTGGAATACAACAGCCTCTTTCAGCGCTGCTCGACTTCAGGCTGTGTGTCTTAATATGGGTTTGTGTACGTGGGTTACAAGAACTAGACAGTCACTCTGCCTTAGATCCACCATCGCCATGATCAGCAGTTTGTCACACAAGCTCTTAGTGCAATTGCATTTTTGTCTGCCTCACTGAACAAAAACCTATTCTGCTTATACAGCACTGATTGAAAACAAAATGAAGAATTTTAATGTGTATTTTGAATTTAATCAACAAATAATACCAGTGTTGACCAAGACATTTAGCTTTTTTTCACATGGCACTCTTCAACTGCTTCTGTGTAACAAAACGACTGCCGTGTTCATGCAGTAAAGCTCCAAATGTGTATTAACACATTGCTATGCCTCTGATCTCACATCCATCACTGGAGAAGACCTAAATGTGAATAGCAGTAAAAAGTCTCAGGTCTGCGCTGCCACTCTTTAGTGTGTGAAGATTTCATGTTTTCCGGTTTAATCTCTTGTGTTCAGAATGAACCGAGAGACGATAGAGACTCGATTTACTTGCAAAATAAAGGACTGGCTAAGTTTTGCATGAAAAGCACTTCAATGAAGAAATACGACTTGCAATGATGCATGGATATGTAATACATTTTTGTGTTTGTCTTTAGCTTCAGTAAGCATTCCTAAACAAAATCATCTTAAAATAAATCTACTCCCTGTTGACTTGTGCCATGCTTACTGAACAAGGGCTTTTGTACCTCGGGTCTGGGACCTTCGGTTTTCTATGAATATATAAAGAATCTCCATATGTTTCCATCACAAAGCCTCAAATATGCAGGATAATGGCAGATTGTATATTCTTCTTTCGTTGTGTATTAAAACAATGTTTTTATTAAATGTGTGTGTTTCTATGCATCGGTTTTTACAGACTGAAAGCGAGGGGAGCGGAAACCCCTGCCGAGAGTCAGTTTGCGCTCTCACGGATGCTGCAGCCTCCTCGCCCACAAATAACAGCTTAGATTAACAAGACGAACAGCCTGCAGCCGCTAATAAATTATCAGCCAATCATGCTGTGGTTAAACTGCTGCTTGTTTTCTTTCCAGTAAGCGCCTCCGCTAGTGGTGTGTACATACCCAACCACATTTTCCTACCGCAGCAGTTTCAATCACCAGCGTGATGTTTTCAAATTCATGTCTGAGGTTTTGATCTTTAAACTTCATTAAAACAGATACAAGAAATGCTCTTTTTTTTAAATTAATTTAGCTAAAACAGTAAACCATGTAAAGTATTAATAGATTAGAAGATTATTCTTTAGTTTTTAGGTAGTCATTTAGCAGACATATTAGTATTACGTTTTATTATTATTTTACTGTATTTTCCAATTAAGTTGATATTTAATTATGTACCAAAATTTATATGTGTCTGCTACATATTGTATTAATGGTATTTGTATAAATACAGTATTTCTAAAATAATGTCTTGGCAATCAACTTTTTATATGCATAATTTCATTTTAGTCGTTTTTTATTTTATTTACTCTAATACCGCGAGCATAAATTAAAAACAATTTTTATTAAATTATTCATAATGCAAAAAGTGCATTTATAGAGAATTAATTTGACTATAAATGTAACATTTTCATTTATGAGCAAGAAAAATAAGTTTTGTCATATTTTATTGAACAAATTCAGAGAATGCCACAAAAACAGATTATGATGGGAAAACAAAACATGTAAAATGTTGGTATATTATGCACTTTTAAAAATCAAAATATTGCATTTCAAAGATGCAAAAATAAAAGCTGATCTACAACAAATACATTTAAAAGCAATACATTTAATCAGAGAGAATATAGTTGCAGACATGCATCTTTAGAAATTAGCTAAACGTACTCTATATGATAAACCTTTGTTTGCTTGATGTTTATCTTATGCCTTTAATCTCTAAGAGATTTCTTCTTTCTTTCCAACTTTTCTCTTCAATAGAAAGATAAGGACAGCACAAAAATATACTCCGTTCTTCATGAGCATGACACCATACGCATAGACAAACAGGTACAGACTGGGTATTTGGTCTGAAGAGCCTGCAATAAAACAAAAAAACACATTTGAAATACATTTGATGAAACATTTAATATTTTTTTTCATACTGCACATATGTAGTTGATGCATAACATGTTTCTGAACATTTTGTTTTTGATCAGCTTCAAGATCTTAGGGTAAAATGTATATGTGTGTATGTATACTTCTACCATTCATTTTAGATGGAGTTTTGCAATTCAATCTACAAGGTTTTAATGTCAACTAATGTCAATCACACATTTATTGTACCCATAATGTAACAATGTGACTTTTTTCTTCTCCCTTCTTTTTGGTCCATTGAGGGATACATTGTGAATGAAATGATTAGATTCAGAGATAGATCAGAATGATTAGAATCAAATTAGATCAGTTGGTTAAATTACTTTATAAATGAAAAGAAAACGTACAAATGATTTTACTCGAATGTGCAATGAATTCATTTAAATGTTGGCTTGGATTTTGAAATGCAAAAGTAATTAACAAAAAAATCCATCCAAATTTGCAAATCCATTTATATATTCATTTTTATTTATTCACCTGATATCTGATTTGCTAAGATCTCATTGTCGGGTGGGCATGTTGGGTTCTCAATGGCATCATCAGATTTCTCTGCTGGGTCTTCGTTAACTGAAATATAACAATGCAGTCATTTTATTAATATACTGTATAGGGTAAAACAAGACAAATCAGAATCCCAATAAAAGAGATTTATCTGAAAGGTAAAATTACTTATAAACAGGCATGTGAATATTCACATTTTTAACTGTCCATATTTTAATTGAAGATATGTCATAATAATAGAATCACTGTGAAATCAAATTGAATGATTTAATTCAATAAACCTATAGGTTTTAATGAAAGCGAAGATGTCTGATATATACATTTAATTGGAAATATAAAATAATAACCCCATTAATTACAATAAGTATTAAATCTACATCTAATAAAAAAAAATGTTTTACTTCAAAATAAAAACTATAACTTTTACTCCACAAATACAAAAACATTGATATTGGTATGTATAAACTTCTGAAATACATTACTTTGATACATCTGATAACAGATCACTCTAAATTGTAATGTAGATACATATTTTCTGTAAAGCTGCTTTAAAAACTATATGTATTGTGAAAAGTGCTATACAAATAAATGTGAATTGAATTGAATTGAATGTGATGTGTCCACTAATCCCCCATTAACAAATAGACACAACAGAATTCAACATGCAATGTCATAGATCACTATTTTCCAGAGACAAAAAAATTGATAAAATGTGGGGGATCCTCTTGATATATATATATATATATATAATATATATATATATATATAATTAATTAATACAAATTATGTACTTTTAATTCTAATTAACTCTTTTTTAATTATTTGATGTAATTAAGGCTTTAATAATGTTTTCCTATAACAAAGAACAATTATAATAGTTTATAATCAAAGTCTACGTATCTGCTACTCTATCAATTGTATTAAACTTTCTTTCCAAGAAATCTAACACATATGAATGTTGTGAATCTGAGTTTCTTCAAATTACCGTTATCCAGTATTTTACTTTCGGGTGCCTTGCTTCCTTCATGGGCAAGAGTGCATTGATAGAGGTCGTCTTCAGCCGTGTTTTGATCTATCAATATACTTGTCACGATGACTGGATTTTCATTCCTCTGCTCCACAACATTGTCCTCCGATACATCCGTCCACTCTCCAGTCTTGCTCTTCTTTTTCCAGGTGAATTTCACCAAGTCTGGAAACATGTCAGTGGCCTGGCATAGCCTTGTCTGTTTGCCACTTTGTTTTTTTGTTGGTAGGTATGCTGTTAGAGTTGGTGACTTGACATTGTCTTTCCCTGGGTCTTAAGAGAAATACATGTTGAACATGACTTCAGTGATCAATAAGCAAATGAGAATATGAGCAAAGAGGGTGACTGGAGAAAGTTTGCTCTTGGAAATAACAACATTTTATGAATTTGACAGTTTCCTACCAGTTACTATCAGCCGGGTTCCAGTTCCAAATCTTTTGATCCAGCCCACCCAGATTAAGTCTATTACAAATACTTCTGAATAATACAAAACCTTCTAATGTGTGGTAAAATTGACAACTTGTTCATTCTTTCTGATGGTCTACACTATTTTAAAGGGTTAGTTCACACAAACATGAAAATTATGTCACCCGCATGCCATTCCAAACCTCTATGAATTTAATCTTCTATAGAACACAAAACAAAATATATTTTGAAGAATTTTTTTTGACAGTTTTTGTCCATACAATAGTAAACCCAGTGGGGTACAAAACTACATTGAAACCCTTTTACTTCAACTGTATGGGGGAAAAAACTGACATATTTTTCAGAAAGTGTTCCAAAGAAAGAAAGTCATACAGGTTTAGAATGATGACAGAATTTTCATTTTTTGGGTTAACCCTTTAACAAAATTCTCCTGTTTTATGTAAACAAGCCCAAGATGGAAGTGAAACTCTCTGTTGCCAGCTGAATTACAGAAATAATTTTGCAACAAACTTTAAAATGCTTAAAATAAGTTTAGCAGACCTCAATTATGTGATTTTTGTCTTACCTGTCACATATAGTCTTGTACCCGAACCGAAGACTTTCTTGTCTCCCACAGTCATTTATTCCTAAACAAAAAGATGCAGTTTGTGCAGAAGAGAATCTGCAGTTACCTCGTGTACATTGTTTTAGAATATCCCTGAAGACTTTTTAAATATTAACCAAGAAAGTAAAAAAAAAAGCTATATTAATCTTGATTTTGATCACTGAAGTGCTAAAACACTTCATTTAGGCTACTTCTGTAGTGAACAGATCCAGCATGTGTTCTGTACAGTGTCATGTCACACTCTTTCCAGTAGAGGGGCTGCAATAGTTTATTTACAAGTCCTGCAAATCTGTCGTCACTCACTCACGCTAAACAACTTGAAACAAGCTTTTGGCGAAAACACTGGATTTTATGTAAAAAAAATTTTTTTATTTAATTTTATTTTTTTCCTTGCAGTTAATGTAATATTGTTTAATATGTGATACCTCTGTTCTTGTGGCATTGAGAAAAAAAGAAAAAAAAAGCTTTTGGACAGACAGTGAAAACGCGGTTATTGTACAGGGCACCCACTAACTAAACTTTGAGTAAAAATGTAACACTAATGAATCATGTAAAAATAAATAGGCCTACACGCGACAGTCCGGTAAACACTTATCTGAGCATCTTGTTGATTCCTTGAATCCTAAAGCTGCTGTTTCTTACTGTTCAACAGCATATTTGTCCTTCATAAGTCTATATTTCATTCATAACATTAAACCTTCTCCCTATTTTCTCTAGTGCCGATCCATTGCAGTGAATTAAATTTATTTGGGCTGAAAGAAATGCATTGTTTGTTGCATTGTTTTTATAGCCTAGCCTATGTGGCTTGTGGTTTTAGATTAAATCAGGAACCCTGATGATGAGTTTTTGTACAGGGTTTCAGTATTTATAACTGCTGTGCGGCCTGAGACCCAGCAAGCACAGTAATACATTGCTGAATGCTCTTTTTTTAGTTCAGGTATTTTCAGAGCCAGATTTTCTTGTTTCTTATCTACTTTAAACGATTCAAAACCAACATCATTGTATGTGGTTCCATCTGCTATAGATGAATACAGTATTCTTTTTAAGGTTTGTCCCTCTTTTAGTTGATACCAGTGAATGTAGCTTATGCAGTCTGAAGGAAAATGACAGTCAATAACGACTGTCTTGTCCTTAGATTTGGTCGATGAGATTTTCTGTTGCAACTTCACATTTGCATCAACTAAAAAAAAAAAAAAGAAGTTAATGAGGGTTATCATGTTTGCTTTTTGTGATAACATAACACAATTATGGTATGATTGCAAATAATAATAAAAAAAACCTTACCTCTACATAAATGTTGAATGAGAAACAAAAGGCATAGCTGTATTTGAAGACTCATGATGGCAGGGAGTGTCTGGAGAGCTTCTGTCTTAAATCTGTCATGAGGAGAGATCATATGGGAGGTTTATTATATTAAGTTTCCGGCCCCTCATGCTAATCTGAGTTTGTTTTGTGGTTCATGATTCAGATGTAACAGATTATACAGTTTCAACTCTGTGCTTCAGTATACACTAATATAATACAATTAGCATATACATAACATGTTGTCCACAAATCTATTACTTTTCTCTACAATATGCTGATTGGTAATATATGCAAAGTATTATCACATCACCAGCAGGGTATGTATATTTTCAATGCCCAGACAACTGTTAATCATTTCCTGTAAGTTCACCAGTCGTTTGAGAAGGAGGTTTGTATGCACATCTGCAGTCTTGTTTTCCCACAATATTTTAGTGGGAGACATCCAGCTGGCCCAGCACCACACCAGAAACCTTTTCTGAACAGAACGGCATCAGAAGCAGAACCCAATTTCTCTAACCTTTTTTTTATGTAATCATTTGCACATAATACATTGTTCTTAGTCTAATAGCACTAACATTTTGATACCAACTGCATTTTAGTAGCAAATGGGAGGCTGCAGTGCTGTTGAGTTTCCTGTCCTCATGCTAATGAGTTTGTATTGAGGTTCATTGTACAGATGTGACAACTCAGAGCCCCTCGTTCAAGAACAAGTTAACTGAATCTGTTTGCTTTATTTCTGCTAAGGAAATAAACAAAATGAAACACGTTGCACAAATAATATAAACATTTCCATTTATGCATTTGGCAGACACAACTTAAATTGCATTCAAGACATACGTTTTATTAGTTGATGAATTCCTTGGGAATTAAACCCATGACCTTGGTGTTATGTTCATTTAACATTAAGAGAAAGGTTTGTGGTCTCTGATCATGACAGGAAACCTTGCAGAGTTTTTGTACAATACTTTAGTATTTATGTGTACTGTGCTTCCTAAGATCCAGCAAGCACAGTAATACATCGCTGAATGCTCTTTTTTCAGCTTGGTGATTTTCAAAGCAAAATGATTTGATGTTTTCTTTTCTGATTTTATGGACTCAAAACCTGCATCATTTTTTGCGGATCCATCATTTATGTCAGCATACAGGATCCTCTTGAAGGGTTCTCCTTCTTTCTGCTGATACCAGTGGATGTAGTTCCAGCAGTCTGAAGTGAAGTGACAGTCTATAATGGCTAACTTTTCCTCTGCTTTGGTCAGTGAGATTTTCTGTTGCAGCTCACCGGCTCCCACTGTAAAAAGCAACGACTCACAAATCAAACTACCTATAGACTAGTTGGTTAGATGTATCATAATGGTTATTATTATTATTATGTAACATTTTTTCTTTAAAAACAATCAATTATATTGCCAAATAATAAAATACTTGCCTCTGCATATGAACTGAAAAGGCAGGAAAAAGGGAAGCATCAAAAGAGCATTCATAGTAGCAGAGACAGTCTGATTCTGTCTTTACTCTGTGAAACATAGGAATTGAGCAACAAACAGGAAGTTGCGATGCTAATAGCTAATCTGGGTTACAGATATGAAATGCCCCATACTGAGCTTAACCGAAGAGAAAGTTTGTTCCTTTTCAAGGATTTCAGCATTTCATTGATGGACTTCCTCATTTCCACCACTTTTGAGCACTCTCAGAATAATAAATGTTTTTTTTTGTACCTTTAGGGGTCACTTGGGTAGTACCATTAAAGGACATCTTTGTACATTTTTTTACCCCTAAAGGTGCATATTAGTACTTTAGAGTAGCAATACGTACCATAAGGTACTACTATGAACCTACAAAGTTGTCCTTTTAAAAGTACTGCCCCAGTGACAAGCTGTTGTACCCTTTAAAGTAAAATGTTTGCAAATTTTTTTATGAGAGTGAATGTTAGGAGCAGCCTATTAGTCTTCAATTAACATGACATCCAATATTGTTTGTATTGCCTCAGCACCAAAAGAAACAGCATGAAGTAGTAGTTGTAGTAGCTATATTTCAATGTGTGGTTAAAGTCCTTGGACTTGCATTATGTTCATATCCTAAAGTAAATTTGCGACACGGACACAATGAACATTTCTGCCTGTTGATAGTCTAGAAGGCACTACACCTCGTAGGGGGGAAATAATTAGGGCCCGAGCACCGATGGTGAGAGGACCCTATTGGAATTGCTCCGTTTATTATTATTCTAATTTATTTCCATACTTCTTTGTCTTTTCCTTAAAACCCAATCAAAGCAATAAAATAATCAAAGCCTACATACTGAAACATATTAAACATACTGATTGCACTGCTGACATTACTGCTTATCAGTGGCCCATATGTTATTGTGTTTAATGTGTTAAAACTCTGCATTGAATTGCATTCTGTTCATGAATTCCCTTTGCAATAGATTGCAATATTAGAAGTTGTTGTACTGCATCTCTTACTATTGTAACACTGAGAAGGCCAGCACGAGGTGATTCCACTACATTAAATAACTATCATCCTTTGTGCTGTTGTTTTTATCAGCAAGCATATTTGCTATACCAAACCTCTCTATTTTGTGGTTCTCCTCAGACAGTATCTGTCAGATGATTTAATGTAATAAAAGTGGTTTGTAACTGTTAGATTTTGACATTGTTCATGTTGTGGAATAACAGTTTCTCATGGTTTATGTCAAGGATGTCAAAGCTTTCTCTCACTGTGGCTGCCATCCCAGCATGCACAGTAATACATGCCAGCATGTTCCTCCTTTGTTTCTTTGAGCTTTATGCCATATGAATTTCCAATTTTTTCAGAGACAAAGTCTTTTGCTTCACTTGTAGCAATCCCAGACTCGCTGATGTAGAGTAGTCTTTTAAACGTTTCACCATCTTTCTTGTGGTACCAGTGGACAAAATTACTAGAGCCCAAGCCGGTTACCTCACATCTAAAGGTCACAGTTTTACCCTTTAGCTTCACCAAAACCTTTTGATTTTGATTTAAACTCAAACCTTCCACACCTGCGATGAAATAAAAGTATAATAAAATAAAATAAGTTTTCATATTTATGTTTTATCATATTAACCTATTTTATTTTACCAATTACCTATGTAACCCCCTTTTAAAGTTTACTTACCATGGATCATTATGAGAACAACAGTGCACAAGTTTATGATCATCGTTCATTTGGTTATGCTTTACACTATTTTGCAACGAATCCATGCAGAAAATTGTTCAGTGACGTCATTTCCTGAGGTGGAGCTCTAACAATATGTGGTGTGATTTGTTGTACAGTAATCAGAATGAAATATTTCAAAAGCTGATACATTTCTACCTCACTTGACTGATAAATTCGATATCTCATCGGGATTCTCTTCAATTTATCAGAAGTAATTTAGTAACATGCAATTTATTACAGAGTCTTAAAGCAAAAAAAATCCTCTTTTGCAGCTCAATAGCACCATCCACTGTTGAAGACCTGCATGTCAAACAAACAACTGTATAAATATTACAAATATAGGAGAATATTTGAAAGGGCTTGAGGAAAGAAAAATAAATCACACCGGTTGCATTGAACTTCAGGGACTTATAATAGTGGAGGTGAAATTTGGGTTCATATGAAAAATTAGCTCCTATTTCTATTCAAATTTCAAACGTGTCAAATCTAATGAATACTATAATGATAATATCCATGAGTTCATGTACAGTATGTGAGTAAATGTTCTCACTGTGGTTGCTTGTGTCCCAATAGGCGCAGTAGTAAACTGCAGCATGAATCGGCTTTGTGTTGCTCAGTTTTAGATTATAGAGCTGTGTTCTGTCCACAGTGAAGTCATTTGCTTGGGGATTGTTGGTATCATGAATAAAGCTACCGCCTGCATTGATATAGAGTAGTCTTGATGGGGCTTCACCCTCTCTCTTTTGGTACCAATGGATGTAATTCCAAGATTGTAAATCGGTCACTTTGCAGGGGAGATATGAAGTTTTGCCCACTGCTTTGACCAATGTTGGTTGAGCTTGTTCCAAAGTCACTCCCAGAACAGTTGCTTCAATTGAACAAAACAAATGTCATACTTTTTTTTTTTAATGAAAGGCTTAATTTTAAATGGCACCTACCTGGGATCTCTGAGAGAAGGACAATATAAATGTATGCAAACATCATTCATCTAGTTGAAAAAGACGTTTGGAGAGTAATGCTCTTTTTTTAGTGTTGTACCCAGCCTTGTGCCATTCAGAAGCAGTTTGCTGATGTCATTTCCTGATTGTTTTCAGCACATAACATTTCTTTCCTATTTCATTTCAGTCATCATGTTTCAGTCATCACATTTTAAAATTAAGGCCGTTTAGTTGATCTAAACTTGAGTAACTTCAATTACCTATTTTCACACTCTTTACAATCTTTGTTAAACAATTGTTAAACAATCTTAGATTGTTTAACTAAGATTGTTATAATCCCTAGTGCTATAATAAATGTAAATGTGAAATGTTCATAAATTAAGATTGAGATCAGAGTTTAAGACAAATGTAAAATAAAAATAAAATCTATAGGCCTAGGCTACATTTTAGAAAAGTAAAAATCAAGACATGATAAAACGTTTGAAAGTAAATTTTAAATGTTACCTTATTCATATAACAAAAAGAAAATGATTTTCATTGTAATTAAAAATTAACCAATATATAAAGCCCTATAAAGATGACTAGCCTAGTTGAAGAAACCGTTTTATTGTAGCATAGTGTTAATGGTCTGCACGGTATGGCTACAGTAGTTTTTAGGGTTCAGAGACACTTTTTGAACATTTACAGTTGTTTTTAATGTAATATTGACAACAAAAAGCAAAGTCCCAATTAAAATATTCTGAATGTCTCCCCCTTGCTGCTACTGTTTTTGTAAAGCAGGTTTTTGTAACGATTTCCTCTTACAGTCAGCACTGTGTTATTATCTCCAGTCCAGAGCGCGCAGTAATATGATCCTGCATCGTCGAGCTGCACTTTGGAGACAGTTAGTGACACTTGCTGTTGCTGATCTCTCACCGATCCAGCATATCCACTGCCGATCACCGCCGGATCGATTTTGGCTGTTGTCGATCCTGCTTCGAAATATATTAATCGCTGGAAAGCTCCTCCTGGTTGAACTCTGTACCAGTGGATAGCGTTGGACTGAAGCGTCGATGAATCCACATTGCATGTGATTCTAGCAACTCTACCATTTACCCTAATGAGCACAGGATCAGGGTGCATAGGACTATTTTGTCCATTTAAACAATCTAAAACCATAAGAGAAACAATTAAAATGTGCTAAGTGTGTAAACACAACAATTAG